GTATCACATCAAAGGAAAATAATTTTTGCTATTCATAAGAGGATTCACTGATACTATTGTCTGATTTTCTTTGTAATGAACATAGAAAGGATTTTGCGAGGAAACGGCTAGAGCTAAAAGAATTGACATCTTCACAGGTTAAGGATCAAGGTTGCGAACCACATCAAAGAAATCTGAAGCTAAATTATTGAACTCTAATACCATAACAATAAATGAACTCTTGAAGAAAATGAAAGAAGGAGAAGGAAAATACTGAAAAGCTTTTGGAGACTTTTATTCAAATCTACTTGACTAACAATTGAAGAAATTGAAAAGAAAATTGAAAGTGAATTTTAGATTGCTTTCTTTATAAAATGTCCAATTAACTTTCAATATTACTACAAAGTGATTTATATAGAAAATCATAAAACAGAATAATAAAAATTACAGCATTAACTATTTTTAGGTTCCTAAGGAATAAATTTCTCAGTGTTCAAAGAGAAACTGTCTTTTATACTATCCAAAACAGATTTGAATTTAACCAACAAAACTCTCCCATAAATTCAAATATTCTTTCGGTCCATCATGCCTAGCATTTTCTTGCCTCTGTCGAATAGCTCCTTCAACAGTGGTTTTGTAAGAATGTTTGTTGCTTGATCCTTGCTTGAAACGTGCTTCAGTTCGATGCTTCCTTCCTTCACATGTTCTCGAATAAAATGGAATCGAACATCAATGTGCTTGCTTCTTTCATGGTTGACTGGATTCTTCGCCAGTTCAATTGCAGATTTGTTATCGACTTGAATTATTGTTGCATCTTCCTATTTCGATTTCATCCTTCTCAACAATCTTCTCAGTCATATGACATGGCACACGCACCAAGATGCTACTACATACTCTGCTTCACATGTCGAAAGAGTTACTATGGGTTGCTTCCTTGACAGCCAGGTGAATGCAGTATTTCCCATGAAAAACATATATCCTGAAGTGCTATTTCGATCATCTATGTCATCACACCAATCGCTGTAAGAGTAGCCAATCAACTTGTATTCTTCTGCTTTCGAATGAAATAATCCAAGTGACATAGTTCCTTGGACATATCGAAGGATTCTCTTCAGAGTTTTCCAGTGTGCAAAAACTGGTTCTTCCATGAAACGACTCACAATTTCAACACTCAGCGAAAGATCTGGCCTTGTGCATGCGAGGTATCAAAGACTTCCCACCAAGCTTCAAAATTTGTTTGCTTCGACACGCTCCCCCCCATCAAAGTTCGAAAACTTTGCTTCTGGTTCCATTGGAGTCGAAATTGGATTGCAGCTTTCCATTTTAAATCTTTTCGGGATATCTTTTGTATATTTTTCTTGTGAGATGAACATTCATACTTCTTCCTGTTGAACCTCCAGACCAAGAAAGTATTTCATCAGGCCTAAGTCAGTCATCTCAAATTCTTGTGTCATTGTGCCTTTGAATTCTTCTATCATATGATTATTGTTGCCCAAGAAAATTAAGTCATCAACATAGAGAGCAACAAGCAATATTTTATCTTTTTCCTTCTTCACATACATGGCATGTTCGTAGGGACGTTGCTGAAATCCATTTTCTTTGAAGTATGTGTCAATTCGTGTATTCCATGCTCGTGATACTTACTTCAGCCTATAAAGTGCCTTCTTTAGCTTTAGCACCTTTCCTTCATTTTCGATTTTCATGTATCCAGGGGTTTGTTCGACATAAACTTCTTCTTCGAGCACGCCATTCAAAAAGGATGACTTGACATCCATCTGATATATTTTCCATTTGTATTGAGCAACTTGATATATGAGCAGTCGAATTATCTCCATTCTCGCAACAGGTGCAAATACTTCATCATAGTTGATTCCTGCTTTCTGCTTGTATCCTTTCGCCACAAGTCGCGCCTTGTATCTTTTGATTTCACCTTGTGCATTTATCTTTTTCTTGAACACCCATATCACACCAATTGTTTGACTTCCTTTTGGTAACTCTGCTAGTTCTCAAGTATCATTGCGTTCGATGGCCTTAATTTCTTCATTCATAGCATCCTTCCAATTTTTGTTTCTTACTGCTTCGTCGAAACTGACATCTTCAGTGTCTTCCAACAAACATACGAGATGCACTTCTTCTGTGTTTTGTACAAGTCTTATAAACTTTACAACTTGGGCTGTGAGAGTCCTTCTTCATCATCAGAGTCTTCTGATTCTGTCGAAGTGTTTTTTGATATAGCATCTGGTAATTTGACCATAACTTCAGTTGAGTTGTTCCACTCTCACTTTCTTCCTTCGTTTACTCGAACATCTCTACTCACTATCACATTTTTGTTTGTTGGGTTGAAGAGTCTGTAACCTTTCGTTTTCTCAGCATACCCAATGAGTATGTATTTATGGCTCTTATCTTCCAGCTTTGTTCTTCTTTGATCAGGTACATGTGCATAAGCCACACTTTCAAACACTTTGAAGTGAGACACAATTGGCTTTCGTCCGCTCCAAGCTTCTTGAGGTGTTAAATCTCTCAACTTCGAATGTGGACATCTATTTTGAACGTAGATTGCACATTATACAGCTTTTGCCCAAAATTCCCTCAACATGTTCTTGCTCTTAAGCATTGATCGAACCATGTCAAGGACTGTTCGATTCTTTCTTTCCGCGACACCATTTTGTTGAGGTGAGTATGCAGCAGTCAGAAATCTCCTTATGCCTTGCTCTTCACAGTACTTCATAAAGGCTGTTGAAGTATACTCCCTACCTCTGTCTTATCGAAGAGCTTTGATGTGCCTGTCTGTTGCTTTCTCCACCATTATCTTAAACTTTTTTAATACTTCGAAGGCTTCTGACTTTTATTTCAGAAAATAAACCCAAGTTTTTCTTGAGAAATCATCAATAAAGTATATAAAGTACTTTTTCCACTGAAGGATTATGGGGTAATTGGTCCACATATGTTAGTGTGAATCAATTCCAGAATTTGTTTAGCCTGATATTCTGTATTCGATTTAAATGAGGTTCTCGTCTGTTTGCCAAACACACATTCTTCACAGAACTTTCCTTCGAATTCTACGTCTGGAAGTCAATGCACCATATTTTTCTTTGCTAACCTCCTTAGTCCGGCCTGATGTAGATGACCAAAGCGTAGATGCCACAGGGATGCTTGGTCTTCGATATTGACTTGCAAACACTTTTCTCAAATGCTTCTCAAATTCAATTTGTAAATTCGATTTCTCGCCATTTCGACTTGAGCAACCAGACATCCTGACTTGTCTTTTAAGTGTAAGCTTCGATCTTCCATGAGAATCAAATAGCCCTTTTCTGTGAGTTGTCCTAGACTCAAAATATTTTCTTTGAGGTTTGGTACATAGTACACATCTTGGATTGATCCTAACAAATCATCCTTCTGCAAGAAATTGATTGTTCCTTTTCCTTCGAACCTTACTTTCGACATATCTCCAAAGGAAACATGACCATCCTCAATTTTCTTTATTTATTTGAAAAAGTGCTTATGACCACGCATATGGTTACTTGCTCCTGAGTCCAGGTACCACATAGTGTCATTTTCTGCATTTGCTTCCTTTTGAGTCATTAACAGAAATCCTTCATTCGATTTTGTTTCTAGGGTAAGATTTGTTGTTTCTTCTATCTTTCTTCTGAGTCGACGATCTTTTGCAAGATGTCCCATTTTATCACAGTTGTAACAATTGTAGGAGTTGCAATCTTTCGCATAGTGCCCCTGTTTGTTACATTTATAATATTCAATATTATTGTAATTCGACCTACCACCTCTCTGGCCACGTCCTCTGCCACGCCAATTTTGTTGGTTTGATCTCCTCTGTCGAAGTTGTTATTTTGGTAACTTCGACCACCATTACGTCCTCCACCACCATGTCCTCTCCCACTCTAATTTTGAGAGAAAAGTGTCTTTTCGTCTCTGTTGGATTCTGCATCCTCAAGTGTCTCCTCCTTCTTCTTTATTTTACGTTGTTCATGTGCCTCAAGGGAACCAGCCACTTCTTCGACAGTGATTGTTGAAAGGTCTTTCGCTTCTTCTATTGTGCATACTATGTTTTCGAACTTGTCTGTCAAAGATCTCAGAATCTTTTCGACAATACGAGCATCAGTCATTGCTTCTCCATTTCGATTGAGTTGATTTTCCACCGTTTGCACACGAGTGATGTAGTCCGATACGGACTCTGTCTCCTTCATCTTCATTTTCTCCATTTCTCCTCGAAGAGTCTGCAATCGAACTTGCTTGACTCTATCTGCTCCTTTGAAAGCATTTTCTAGCGTGTCCCACGCCTCCTTCGACGTAGTCGAATCAATAATCTTTTCGAAAACTGATTCGTCGACTGCTCTGAACAGCATGTATAATACTATTTTATCCTTTGTTCGTGTTTCTTTCAACGCCTTGTTCTGAGCATTTGTGTTTGCCGTCGTATTTCATGGTTCTTCAAACCCATCGTTAGTTACTTCCCATACATCTAACGATCCCAACAGCGCCTTCATCTGGATACTCCAGTTCTCATAATTCGACTTTGATACTCGTGGCAGTGGCATTTGACCCATCATATTTGTCATGCGCTCTGATATCAATTTGAAGAAATTGAAGAGAAAATTGGGAGTGGACTTTAAACTGCTTTCTTTATAAAATGTCCAACTAACTTGCAATATGAGTACAAAGTGATTTATATAGAAAATCACAAGATAGAATAATAAAAGTTACAATATTAACTATTTCTAGGTCCCTAAGAAATAAACCTCTCACTGTTCAAAAGGAATCTGCCTTTTGTACTACCCAAGACAAATTTAAATTTAACCAACAACAATGAAGCATAATACATTAATTCCTATTCGTGTACATATTATTGACGCTGCCCCTAATTTGCATAACTGCTTTCTAACTATCTAACTTCAAGCAACTAACTAAAAGTAGATTGTTGTTTCTAACTATCTAACTTCAAGCAACTAACTAAAAGTAGATTGTTGCATGACTTGCAACAGAAACAACCACAAGTAACTCAGAATTTAATGGAATATGCTCGTTGGCAATTTGGAAATCCATCCTTCTTGATCAATAAAAGAGATATTCAATAATTTATCAAGTTCAGGTCGAGTCATACTCTTCATCCATTTCACGCGTTTTGATTTGTCTGCACCTGATCTTGTGCATCCCTCCTCGACAAAAGTAAAGTTTTCTCTGCACTTAAATTTATTTCACATATTAGTGTAAGATAACGTTAATTTGATGATTCATTAGTATGAATAAAACTTACTCGTGCCCGACATATGTTAACTGACTCCAACCCTCAGGTCTAACAACATCTGATAGGTAAGAATTTGCTATGATGACTCTTGCATAAGCTCCCATAGGCCTTCCAAGTTGAGTCTTATATCCTGTTCCACTTATGTTACAATTTTTAAACACAAACCCACTTGGATCATTTGGTGAATCTCTATATTGTGCTGTAATAACCCCATCCTGCTGCAGACTAGATTTTCCTTTTGAAAAATATATTGTACTTGCCTGCATAGATGACCGAGAAAATAAATGTTTTTTTTCCTTCAATTAAAACTACATATAAAACCTAAATAGTATAAGAAATCAATTTGATTGTATTTGACCTCAAAGAGTGATTGACCATTCCCATATATGAAATCGCTTGAACCTTGGATGTAATAATTATTGTAGTAATGGCGACCATCGTCATCATTTATCGTATCTTGCACCTCAAGAAAAGAACAGCTATAGAAAGCACATTTATCTGCATGGATTTTCGCAGCTTTGGCTTGTACAACGTTAATCACGTCTAATAATACTGGCCTGTTCAATGTATTCTATGAATACATAAAGTATAGAAATGAATTAATTCAATAAACATTATGCTTTAAATAAATACAATTATTTATATATAATTTACCGTAAAAGTTATTCCCTTTGCAACTGTATTGCTTGCTTTTATATCGAAAGTAGCATTCTATACTTGTGGACTTGCTTGAAATAAATGCATGGTTTGTTTTTTGGAATTAAGACTTTCTCTCTGAACATAAAGAAATTTGTATCATCAATAATTCAATGTATCATAAAAATGTAACATATAATTATAGTTGAAAAAGAAGAAATACTTGTAAACACCAGAGGATATTTGGATATGAATCCATTGAGAGTTTCCTGCAGGGACAGAATCAATCGCACTTTGAATTGTTTCGAAATCTGCTTTGCCTGATTGACTAACAATAATGGTCTTCAAGGGATTGCTACAATCATTAGATTCACAAACATCAAATGCAAGAATTACAAATATTAAAATGAAAGCAAATGATTGCAGGGACTGCATTTTTCTTCAATTGGGTGTGTGTAAATGTGGTGGTTGAATCTCAACAAAATCATAAGGTTCTATAGCATTGAAAAAGTGAGATACAACATTTAATTGTGCAATGTATCCTTCAACTCTTCCATTGATATTCATTTAGAATTCTATTGACAACTAAAAGTCGTAATCATTTTGCCCTAGTTCCTAGGATACTGTCATTATGCCTTAATGACAACACTTGGCTCGAGGCAGATATGACACACAACCTCTCACTCCCATCAACTATTCAGCTCCCCGTGCACTGAACACAGAGACCATGCTTGGGCTCCCCAAACATACTTGTCCCCAGGTACAACCTGAAGCGTCCTCGTCTTCTACGACGAGAACCAAAAACATCTAAGTCATCACTCCTATGGTTAAGAGCAACGATTTGGGGGGTTCCTGTTCTGGACTGCCCCAATGGTTAAGCAGGGCCCAATCCACTTCTGTATGTAGGACGACCCAATAACTTTGACCCAATAAATCACAAGGGATAAATGACACTTTATACCCTCCGCCCTTCACTCGAGGAACCCTGGCCGACTAACCACCAGGATCTGCACAGTCGCTTCTACCCGCTCAGACAGGCTGGTCCTCGACCTACCGGTCACACGAGGACAACCACCCAAAAATGGTCAGAATCATCTTTGTCAGCGACCACCTCTCGGCTCGTTATAACAACTAGTTCCGAGTATCCCTGCTCTTCTTGACCAATTCTTGAAAGTTACCTATTTTTGAGGAACCTAATATCTAGATCCAAATATAGGAACCAATGGCCATGCATCGGGGGCACTATATAAACCCTCACACTTGTGAGGGCTAAGTATCCAATATTCATTCTAAAAAACTCTAATCTCTTTCTTGTATCTCTTTTCACTCTTTCTTACTTGAGTATCAGAGTGCCTTGCAGGTACACCCCCTTCTTCCTCACTGATTCCAGTCTAGTAGACGTCATCCATCGGTCCACATCAGGTTCTGATCAACCGCCAAGATCAAACAACAATAACAACAATAACAACAACAAGAACAACAACAACAAGAACAAAAAGAATAACGATAACAAAAAAGTACAACAAGAACAACAATAACTAACATTGCTAACTTGAATCCATACTTTCCTTGTCCCTTTCAAGTTGGAGAAGAGATGATGGCGTTATGAAATTTGTTAATGAAAAAATGATGTTTTCGAGTTTTGTTTATCAAAGAAATGATATTTTCAAGCTTGGTTTAGTGGAGAAATATAGTGTCGTAAATGAAAGATAACGTTTGGAGGTAGAAGATGAACTTCGTCTAAATTTTAGGTTTCACGCGGATCATTAGTGATAGTGTCTTGAGCGTTGATACTCACTAAATGAACGACGAAGATTTATTTAAGGACGGTGAAGAAACTCAATAAACATGCTTATATTTTCCGATGACCCTGAATGATTTTTCACCACGGTTGAAACTTTCAACCGTAGTAGTAAAGTGAATAGCGAGCTACATACAACAACCATTATATTAAAGAACCAACCACTTACAACAACAATTGTATTAAACAACTATTGTTGTATGTCTTTTAATAAAATATAAAAAACACAGTAGTAGAACAACAACATGATTCGAACTCATGACTATGCACTACTTTTTACTATGATTGAAAGTTTCAACCGTGGTGAAAATTGATTTAAAAATGAAAATAAAAACAAAGTGCCTCATTGAATTTTTTCTATCACGGTGGATCTTTTAGCTGTGATAAGGTAGGCGTTGTTATATATCTTTATGTAGGAGTGAGAAAATGAAAGAAAGAGAAGGAATATCTGGAAAAGCTTTTGGAGATTTTTATTCAACTAAACTCAACTGATAATGAAGCATAATAATTTCTTATTCGTATACATATCATTGAAACTGACTCTAGTTTACATAACTGCTTTCTTTCTGTAAATTGTTTTACTGCCTATAGCTTTCTTGCTAACCAACTTCAAGCAACTAACTTAATGTAGACTAAGTCACCACAAGTAACTCTCTTCAGCATTTAATGGAATATGCTCGTTGGCAATTTTGAAATCCATCCTTCTTGATCAATAAAAGAGTTACTCAAGAATTTATCAAGCTCGGGTCGACTCAAGCTCTTCATCCATTTCACACGTCTCGATTTGTCTGCTCCAGGTCCTGTGCATCCCTCCTCCACAAAAGTAAGGTTTGATCTGCAGTTATGTTAAATTCATACATGAATGTAATATATTGTTAATTTGATGATTCACTAGTAAGAATAAAACTTACTCATGACCAACATATGTTCTCTGACTCCAACCCTCAGGTCTAACAACATCTGATAGGTAAGAATTTGCTATGATCACTCTTGCATAAGCTCCCATAGGCCTTCCAAGTTGAGTCTTATATCCAATCCCACTTATGTTACAATTATTAAACACAAATCCACTTGGATCATTTGGTGAATCTCTATATTGTGCTGTAATAACCCCATCCCTAAGTTGACTAGATTTTCCATTTGAAAAATATATTGTGCTTGCCTGCATGATTAAGAAAAATAAAATGATGAATAATACTTTTTTTTTAATGAACGCGTACAATTTTGATATAGATGATATATATAGAAAAATTAGATCAATACAGAAATAAATCAATTTAATTGTATTTGACCTCAAAGAGTGATTGACCATTTCCATATATGAAATCGGTTGAACCTTGGATGTAACAATTATTGTAGTAATGGCGACCATCGTCATCATTTATGGTATCTTGCACCCCAAGAAAAGAACAGCTATAGAAAGCACATTTATCTGCATGGATTTTCGCAGCTTTGGCTTGTACAACGTTAATCACGTCTAATAATACTGGCGTGTTCAATGTATTCTATGAATACATAAAGTATAGAAATGAATTAATTCAATAAACATTATGCTTGAAATAAATACAATTATTTATATATAATTTACCGTAAAAGTTATTCCCTTTGCAACTGTATTGCTTGCTTTTATATCAAAAGTAGCATTCTCATGAGAACCCCATTCTATACTTGTGGAATCGCTACCAGCTCCTTCAAAATAAATGCATGGTTTGTTCTTTGGAATTAAGACTTGCTCTCTGGACATATTGCACAAAGAATAAAATTGAAATTTTTGTAACATTTATAACTCAATGTATAAGAAAAATGTTACATAAAGAGGAATATACTTGTAAACACCCGAGGATATTTGGATGCGAATCCATTGAGAGTTTCCTGCGGAGACAGAATCAATGGCACTTTGAATTGTTTTGAAATCTGCTTTGCCTGATTGACTAACACTAATGCTCTTCAAGGGATTGCTACAATCATCAGATTCACAAACATCAAATGCAAGAACTACAAATAATAAAATGATAGCAAATGATTGTAGAGACTGCATTTTTCTCCAATTGGGTGTGTGTAAATGTGGTGGTTCAATCTCAACACAATCATAAGCTTTTATAACAGTAACATAATCAGATATAAAATTTATTGGTGCAAGGTATCAATCACTTTATTCCATAAATAATATTCACAATATATTAGGAAAAAAATACACTTTTTAGGCCTCTTAAATAATGAGTGTATATGTTCTATATATAACATAAATAAAAATCATAATTCAATATATTTAAACAGTGAACTTTTTATATAATAAGACCGGAGAGAGAAGAATTACATATATACAGGCAGAACTCAAATATAAATCATTTTGACACACACTCATAAAATATATATTATCTAGCTATTTTTTTTTTTAAAAAACATAACATTTAATTGTTTTCTCTTTCTTAATTTTTTCTTGTATGTATGTGTGCTTAAATGCATTATGTTTCAGCTAGTAGCAAAGCAGGTTTTTTCCAATAGTGTTCATCTATAGTTATTGACTATTTTAAGGTCTGTTTATTTTATCATTAAAAAATGATTTTATTTTTATTACCAAAATTAATTAATTTGGATTTTTTTAAATAATAAAAATTATTTCAAATTTATTTTTTTAAAATTAAATAATAAAATTTGACATCTAATAACATAAATATATATTATTAGAGATGAAAATATACTTAAAATTCATTAGTGCCTTATAATATTTTTTTTATGTAAAACAATTTAAATAAATTTTTTATTTAGAGTTTTTTTGAAAAATATCTTTGTAAATTTTTTATACAAAAATTTATAATACTATAAAATTTATTTTGAAAAACTGAAACAATCATGTCCATATTTTCTCTCAATATTTGTTTTTTCTATTTATAGAAATTTATTACTTTTAATGTGCTAATGTACACAAATTATTGATAACGAGTTTACAAAAATTAGTCATGTATTTATAGCATAATATCATATTTTCTTGATTTTGGTAATTTACAATTATTTAATTTGTATTTGGAAACTTATTTTATTTGGATTGTTATAAAAATTTGATTTATCATTTCTTTTTTGATTTTGTTTGAACTAAGAAAGATGTACTAAATAGAATGGATTTTATTTTTTAGGCTTAATTACAGTCGTGGTCACTTATTTTATGTGATTCACGAAATTGGTTTCTTATTTCAAATTTAAATAGTTTTTGGTCGCTTTCATATTCTTGCACTTATTTTTAATAAAGAATGATTTCTTTAATAAACTTTAAGATTTTATATTTTATATTTAAAATTAACGATGTTTCTATTTTAAATGATAATTGTTTTATGATATATGATAAATTATCAAATATAAATTTATTGGAGAGTTTTATAGATAAATATGAGTTAAAAAACAAAAAATCTCATTGATTTTTTATGAAAAAACATGAGACACTACTATTAAACGCGCATATAACAACGCTAAAATCATCACGGTTTTTCCAAACATCGTGGTGACATATCTAAATTCTTGTGGTAACATCATTTTATATTTTTTAATTAAAAATTTTAAGGGTATAATAACGGTTAGTGTTAACACCGTGGTGATACAATGAAGCTTTGATGGGTTCAAACTTCATCGCCCTCAAATA